AACCTAAATTTTAGCGGTAGCTCATATCATTATACAATTGATGGCCATGAAGTAAGAGGGGAAATGATGCTTTACACCACAAAAAACAATAGGGATAGCCTATTTTCAGACAAACCCATTTTATGTTGTGGGGACTGCAAGCACTCTTAGGAATTGCATAGCGGGTTGATGGGTTTTAATTTCTGATGTCAGTGGGTCATCAGTAAGGGGTGATTTGGCATCAATATTAGTCAAACATTATCTTAGGTGTGCTTAGTAGGGAATGAGGGCATGATCCACAATATTTATCAATAATAATTCCATTCCCCAGCAACCCATCCATTCCCTACATTTAGCACAAGTAAGTTATACAGGGTATAAATGTACCGCACAACCGTTATTGTTTCCATGGGTTTCCCATTGCCAGGTCATCAACTCGGTCAAGGTAAAAGCCAGGAGACTGAAATTCGTGTGCGTCGCCCGCACCCACTTTGTTCACCGCCCGAATGTCCAACAAATACGCCTGAGATTCAAAAACTAAAATACACATAGCTCTTGAAAATGGCGACCAACAAAAATCCTTCGAAATTGGTCGTGTTGAAAAAGGGGAAACCACTGCCAATGCTTGTGGGGTACAAACCAAGTTAACCAAGGCGTGATGGTCACCAAGTCTTGATGATAATGATATGGATGTAACCTGCCTGTAACCGAAACGGTCATTTAAAATGCGACTTCCAAAGTTGGGATGTTAAATTCCAAGAAATGATGCTGTGTCATTGTCCAGCGGCATTGGACATGATTCTACTCGGATTGTATGACAGTTCATACGCCTCATGCACCAGTAGCCCCGTTTTGTTGAAATCAACTAGTCACTTGCTTTTCCGCTTCAATAAAAGTGGGCATCACCGACATTTGTGAATATTTTCCCCAAAACAGATAGAACAACACACTTCTTTAATTTCATCAAAAACATATCTATGCCTGTGTGTATGTATCTTGATATAATATACATATATATATACTTATAGAATTTTATATATATATATATATATATATGAACATATATGAACACGTACATATATATATATACATTCACCAACTTCCTATAGTCTCCAAAAAAGAACCTGTTGGACTCCCATAGATGTTCATCGATCCAAAAAATCTGGCAAGAATCGGTGTTGCCTTTGAGATTGGCCACCACATACCTGGGAGCTGTCTGAAATGCATGATTTGGGTTTGTAGCGGGTGAAAACCATAGGAAAACCGTAGGAAAAATAATGGAACATGTTGAACATGGGGAATTCAGCCCTTACCACTTATTTGTATGAGTTTAAATGGGGTTATAACCATAGCTATAACTGGGGTAGCTTACTGACTTGTGAGTGGCATCTCGGGCCATGATTGTAGTACCCTCACTTCCAATTTTTGCCATGGCCATACCTTTTTTGCCATGGTATACCCCCCATTTCAGACATTACTGTTATTGCAACATCTACAGTACAAAGCACAGGATTTTTTAGCAACACCAAAGAGGTTCAGGGGAATTTAACCAGCCAAAATTTGGATCCTACAATCAAACCTGGGGACTTCATCCATGAATAATCTGTAGGTGCTGTATTTAATGCCAACAAGAATGTAGTATCAAACCATATAAAACGAACATGTTGGCAAAAAAGCCTGGGGACGTATGAAAAAAGGGGTCCGCAAAAATCATCAAAAATCACCATATTACAGTCTGTCAAAAAACATGGTGGAATTGCTAGATTTATGGTGCTTGTTGCTGGGAAAGAGCTTGGTCTACAAAAGATCCATAAAGATCCGCTCAATTGAGAACTTTTGGCAGGATTGTCAACCGGCAAGCGGGTGCAAAAACATGCAGTGTATCACTGAAGAAAATAGGCATTATTTTTTCTTGGGGCTGCAATACCCTAATTTCCAGGGTCATCAACATAGGCATTAAAAATAGTCAAGGGGTTCTGCCTCAGGATACAGAATGGAGAGATTGCTGGTCTTAGTGCTTGGGTTCTGGTCCTCTGTGCACCAACTGGGTATGTCGGGTATGTCTGAAATTGGATATACCGTTATATGCCAGAAATTGCCATTCATCATCGTTGATCAATGCTGATGGAATGGGGTACCTAGCCATGGGTAGCCGATTTTCAGACAGGCCGGCCCTCACCAACTGAAAACTTCTGAGATGCACAGGCGTTTTGCTCTTGGTACACTCGCAGAGCCTATACCACTGAGGCGGCTCCTTGGCTGGGGAAACAAATCGCGGTGAATTTCTGGAAAGTTCACACAACTGAACTCACCAAAACACAGTTGAAGAGACCAAAAAAGGAGTTCACATGATTTTACTCAGAAACAGAGGGGATTTCCTGAAAGATTAAAACGCAACATCCAGATGTTCCAAGCCAAGGGACGTTGGGTTTCGGATCCAAAAGGATGGAGATCTGATAGCCAATGACCTGTGCTCCATGGTCATTCCTTGGCTGATCATTCGGAATAAAAACCTCGAGGTAGGAACTTCAGACTTGATCAAATGATTTTCCGGAGCACAGCAATGGATTGGTTTAAGGGAAAACCCAGAGGAAACCAAGGTTTCTATCATTTTCTATCCCTCCCAAAAGATAAAAAAAAATGGATGTATTGATGAGGCAGCTACGGTTCATGGATTGGATGGTGGATGGTGTCAAGACTAGACCTCATTCTCGATGGTAATCTGTCTAAATCTATCTATGCCAAGTCTTCCAAAAATGATTAGCTATGGTTTCTCCCTTCAACATGAAGCCTATGGGATCTGGCTGCCGCCAAGGGACTTGGGCGGAACCCATCGCACAGTAACTTCGTTCTGCTTGACATCCGCAGACTGGATGTCCTGCGACAGCACGTTTTCTTTTCTTGCTGTACTTTCGTTGCAGTTGGTTGCTTTGCATAGCAAACAAATAAACTACACCTATGCACAATATGAAGAGAGAGAGAGAGAGAGATATATATATATATATATATTTATTTATCATATACCCATATATACCCCCACTGCTTATGCTTTCATTGAATCCTCCTGTCTCTAAACACAACACCCTCTCCTATTGCTTTAATGGGTTGCGAACAAATGGTTGTTGACTGCTCCTCTTGAAAACTTAATGGTGGTGATCCGCGACCCATGCTGGATTTTGATGATGCTGATCTCGGTCAAATCAGCAATTGATGTGCAACGTTTTCTTGGTTCAAACACCATATTTTCAACGTTTTCGTGTCTTAAATCGTCATTTCTGTTTGTAAAATCCAAACTTTTTGTAGTTTCAATTATTCCCCTTTTGTGGTTTCAATACCAATTTTTCAACGTTAACTCAACTCTTTTGTTGCTAAACAATGACCAATTTCCCCAAGGATAACCACCGCATCTCCAGCGAAGGTCCTCCACAGCCGCGGGCGTGGTGCAAACGTGGTACCTGCCGGCACGTGTTCGCAGAAATTTTCATTCAATGATCTATTTATGTAGATGGGAATACCCCAATAATTGTATGACATATTCTATAGCTACACCAATAATTTCAGAAAAGAAAAAATTGGGTGCCCCATGGTAAAACATTCAAAAAATGTGTAAATCCATAAAAATAAACATAAATAAACATACCGGAAACCTCTTCAAAAAATTGTCTCCATACAAACGCTGGGTTTTCCACATCTATGTTGGTTGATGTTGCTTGACATGAGGGTACCCTACATTGTGTGTTTTCATGAGCTGCTTAGCCTGATCATCCCAGCGAAGGGCACTGCCTTACCATTTCGGAAAGCAGCATCTAAAAAACGAAGAACCATGAAACAATACGTCTAATAACACTGACATAGATATGGACAACCCATTTTTTTCCATGGAAATAATTTAAATAATTCTACAAATGGTAGATTGTCCTAGAAAGATCGTGGGGGAGCAGGTGCCCCTGAATCCTCCAAGTCACTTTGGCAAGAAACTCCTTGTCATGGTTGAATCCCCATATCTGGTTGGTGGTTTCAACCCGTGAGCCCGAGCCAGCAAGCGGTGGGAAAACGTGGCGGTTTCAACCCCTCTGAAAAAATAATCACATTACTTTACTTCGTGTGATCCCCACCATGACATTTATACATTTTGTTACTGGCAAATCTCCTGGCATTCTATCTGACATATCTTCTGGCATTCTATCTGGCATTCTATCTGGCATTCTATCTGACATATCTTTTGGCATTCTATCTGGCATATCTTCTGGCATATTATCTACTCAAATCTTCTGGCATTCTATCTGGCAAACATTCTGGCACTTTATCTGGCATATCTTCTGGCATTCTATCTGACATTTTATCTGGCATTCTATCTGGCATACCTTCTGGCATTCTATCTGGCATATCTTCTAACATTCTATCTGGCATATCTTCTGGCACTCTATCTGGCATATCTCATGGCATTGTATCTGGCATATCTCCTGGCATTCTATCTGACATTCTATCTGGCATATCTTCTGGCATTCTTGGCCGTTGAGGTCCAGGAAGGTCCCAGGTTGAGGTCCAGCGGTGCGCACTGAGCTCGGAAGGTCCCAGGTTGAGGTCCAGCGGTGCGCACTGAGCTAGGAAGGTCCCAGGTTGAGATCCAGCGGTGCGCACTGAGCTGGGAAGGTCCCAGGTTGAGATCCAGCGGTGCGCACTGAGCTGGGAAGGTCCCAGGTTGAGGTCCAGCAGTGCGCACTGAGCTGGGAAGTTGGCGAAGAGCTTGGCGAAGAGTTGGCAAGGCGGAAGTGGAGGTGGAAGTTGATGCAGACATGGTCGAGGAGAAACCGGCGGAGGAGGCGGAGGAGGAGGAGGAGGAGGCGGAGGAGGCGGAGGAGGCGGAGGAGGAGAACAACTCTGATAAAATCTAACAACCCTCACCTGGCAGGTGGGGAAAAAATATTCCAAACCACCAACCAGATACGAAAAATGTATCGATGTTGGTCTACCCTTCTAAGGACCCTAGGATCATCAGGATCATCCCGCAGTGACTTTGGCCTCAATCGCATTTCTGCAACACGATGGCCTGGCAGTTGATAGCTTGGTTTTTCTCGTTTTGTTTCAAAAAAAAAATTCGGTTTGAAAAAATCACTGGGTTAAAGGAACACACGTGGGGATATACAGTATATGTATGATTTGTTCTTCATGATAAATAAGTTGTTCTTGAACTGGGTTTGCAACATGGTTCTGCTAGTAATTCGATTGGTCAACAAAGTTGTTTCAAAAAGAAACTCGGGCGCCACGTATATCAAATTCAAAACCAAGAACGTATGTAATTATATATATATGCCCAAAGGGTCCATGTCTAAACTTTGTTTAGACGCAAGCTCATGTCTGAACTTTGTCTTGACAGGGGATCCCATGTATATACGTTTGCCTATCCACCCCTGCCCACTGCGGTTTTGGCCTCTTCTGCTCAGGAGTCAGGTCAGCAAGGGATGATGTCGGCAAGGTTCAAGCGTTAGAACACCAACACATGATGTCAGCAAGGGATGATGTCTTCCCAAATCTGGGTGGCAAATTATGAAACTTAGAACATTTTTTTAAGCAAGTAGGATCATCAGTGAAACCATGGCCCACGAGTGTTCTCATGAAAAGGGCCCTATTATTACAAGGTCAGATACTTAGTCTTCAAGGATTCAGAAGCGTTCAGGTTTCATCTTGTTTGATTACAATCAACCCTTATCAACCCAACTGCTTCTTTAGGCCACTACGAGACACAGGATGGTCATCTCAGTGATGATGAATCGCACTTAGGTGCCACCAGCCCGGCAATGCACCAGCACTGATAAGATGAGTTCGTTCATGCGTGTTTGGGATGATATAAAAAATCTTGAAACCTCTGACTTAGTAGCCATTTTTGGTTCTTCAGTTGTGGGCGGCCTTAGCCCATAATGAGTGGGCGTAGTAGGGTCCGCCTAGATCCAGGGCGCATGGCCCTGCTGAAGGATTGGGAAAAGATATATTTCTTGAATTTGGGGCATAGGCCGCTATAATAGTTTACAAACCACAACGGAAAGTTGGTTTGAACTTTCCTTGGCTTTTCTGCTCCATCAGAAACTCTTGGACGGACTCGAGGGATTTTGCTTGATCCAGTGGTAATCCTTTGACGGACTCCAGACTCAAGCACGAAACACCTCGGTAAAATCCCAACATGGAATCCAGTTGCTGGCAATACCCGGGCAACGTGGTTAGCTTTTGGGAGCTAGGCTGTGTATATATATATATATATACATACATACATACATGTGGTTGCATCCAATGGGACTGCACCCGGCCTATGCTTGGAGTAAATTGCACCAACAAAACATTAAATATATGTGGGTATATTGATAATTCCCAGAAAATGTCAAAAATAAGCATCATGCCCCATCATATCCAAAATTTATGGTTGGGTGGGAGCCCGTGCTTTTTCAAGTCCTGTGGGTCTTTAAAATTCTGACCCACTTGCAGTTGCACTATGACCAGGCCGTGTCACATGCGTGGCCAGACCGTGGTCAGACCGTGGAATGTCTAAATTTGTGTGTGGAATGTCCGTACTTAACGTGGAATGTCTAAACTTTTGCGTGGTCCCACTACCCCCAAAAATCTATCAATTTTGGATAATTTTGGTATATTTTTGCACTTGTTCAATTTGCATTCATGCCAACAAGGGCGTACCCGTAATTGCTACAGCGGGTCATGTTGGGCAATTGATTGAACCAATATCGCATGGATCATGGCTGCATACCTATGCCGGATCTCAAACTTGCATTGGTTCAAGTGCCCTCCCACATGTCCACAGGATGATTTCCATGCATGCATGAACCAAAAACAAAACAAGTTCACCAGAGCCATTTTTATCTGTGAGAAATTGAATGATGGGACCCCAACTCATGTGGGCATCATTTGGGATCTTTTGGGTATGTATTTAATTTGTGTTTCGTGCATCCCAACTCCGGACTCCAAGGGTTGAATCTGGATTCCATTGCTTTCTTCAATTTAATTCAGCAATCAACATGTCCACTCCAAGGTGTGAATGCGAGATTTGAACATACATTTTGTGATGAAGATTCTATGGGGTGGCTTTGCCGTCTCTTGTTTCAACTTCTTCTGGTGTATATTAGTAGAAATGACTTGTAGCACTGGTAGGCTTCCCTGTTCATGGTAATAAACATGGCTGCATTCACTTCATGTTACACTGTTTGTGATTTTTGCTGATTCATGATAACATATTTAAGAAATCAGGCACAGTACTCCGCGCACATCCTCTTCACCAACGATCTTGGGCCTTTTGAAAGTATCTAAACTACCATTGCGGAGCTTGAAATGGCGAATCGGAAAGATTCTTGAACCAACATATGCCCATATGTGTTCCAGCAATATCGTGCATGCATGTGCGCATGGGAGATGGCATGGTTTTTGTGGTGAGTTCCTGTTTTACATTTTTTGGGGTTGCCTAGGCTCAACCATTCTGCCGCGCAAAGAATTTGAGCTCGTGAAGCTTCAAACAAAGAACCAGAGAAAACATGGCGAATCATGCGCCAGAGAGTTGTTGGAAATCCTGCCATAAACATGTTTCTAATTTCAGGACCTTTGTTCAAGTTGGGATATGTCCATGTGCACACGCTGTTGTTTTAACATGTTTCAACTGGTAGGTATAGGTGGTGGGGCGTGACAGGGCGTGACACAGGGACATGTGCGAATGTATATACGTATACCTAATGTCTATAAAAAGAAAAGACCTGGAACTACTTGGGTATATATATATAACATTTTTTTCATAGATATGGTCAACATACTGTATATCCATATCTACTGTATGTAAGGATGCATTTTGCCCGTAAGCGGGCAAGGGGAATGCCATGGACGATGCCGTTTCCAGCTGAGATCTTCCTGGGATATCATCCGCATCCTATCCATTTTTTTTCGGAAAGGAAATCCATGGTGATGTTCTCTTCCATAATCGAATGACCAATTATGTGTTTTATTTTTTTCTGACGAAATACCTGCATTTACCCCAGAACTATTAGAACTTTTGTCCCAATTGAGGGTCAACATATGTATAGCAACTCCCCATCAAAAACAAAAAATATCCTGGCAAGAGACCCCAAACAGTGTGGGGGGAGTAAAGGGATAATGTTTTATAATGTTGATGATGATGTTAATGTTGATGAAAATGTTGATGAGGATGGTGATGTTGATGATGACGATGATGATGGTGATGGTGATGTGAATGATAATTAAGATAATAATGATGGTGATGGTGCCGGTGATGATGATGATGGTGATGATGATGATGATGATTATGAGGATGATGGCGATGATGGCGATGATGATGATGATGATGATGATGAGGATGATGACGATGATGGCGATGATGATGATCATGATGATGATGACGATGATGTTATTGTTGTTGATGATGATGATGGCGGCGGTGGTGGTGGTGGTGGTGGTGCTGATGACGATGCTGATGGTGATGATGGTGATGATGATGATGATGATGGTGATGATGATAATGACGATGACGATGACGATGATGATGATGATGGCGATGATGATGATGATGGTGATGATGATAATGATGATGATGATGATGGCAGTGGTGATGATGATGATGACGACGATGATGAATGATAATGAATGATAATGATATAATGGTGATGATGATGATGATGATGATGATGGTGGTGGTGGTGATGATGATTGCAATGATGATGAAAGGAAGATGATGATGTGGATGTTGAGGAGGGGGAGGAAGATGCCGATGTTGAGGAGGAGGATGTTGAGGAGGAAGACCGATCCCAAGAGACAGGAAGCACACTTTGTGCGAGCCTGCGAAATCGAAATGCACATGGACATTGCACAAGAGCCATTTTTTATGGAAATTTGAAGGACAAGTGCCGAACGCCAATCCCGCGACACTTGTTTCGGTGCGAGCCTGCGCAGTCGAAATGCACATGGACATATCACAAGAGGCATTTTGTGCAGAAATTTACACGGACAATGCCATGCGCGTATCCCGCGACCAGTGTTTTGTGCGAGCCTGCGCGGTCGAAATGCACATGGACATATCACAGGACGCATTTCGTGCAGAAATTTACAGGGAAAATGCCGGACGCTTCTGATACCACCTCGATTGAACACCGGCCCTTAATTACAAGAACCCGTCAGTGTGGCCACACTGTTTGGGGAACAAAAAAAAGATACCAGGTCAGATTCTGCAAGCTCCCTTTGTCAAGATCTCGGTAGAAGAGGTTCTCTGTAGAAGCTGCTGTCCAAGATCCCTGTAGAAGGCTCTCTGTGATGTGGCAAGATGCCTATAGGAGATCTCCACAGAAGCTCTTTGTACGGGATCTCAAAGAAAGATCTCTGTTCAAAGAAAGACCGATGCTCTAGTCATTTCACCAGAGCCATTTTGTCTGGAAATCAACAAGAAAAGTGCCGTACGCCGAGCCCGCGACACCCGTTTTGAGCGAGCCTGCGTAATCGAAATGCATACGGATATTTCACAAGAGCCATTTTGCATCATTTTGCCCGGAGATTTACAAGGAAAATGCCGGACGCTTCTCCCGCGGCCAGCGTTTCGTCCCAGCCTGCGCAGTCGAAATGCACATGGACATGTCAGAAGAGGCATCTTGTGCGGAAATTTACAGGGAAAATGCCGGACCCATACTTGGTGGATGGTTTTGAGATAGAATACATGTAAATTACTTGTGGCACTTGACCTACTTACACAACTTACAAGTTAACTTAGGAAACTTAACTTCTTAATTGTAGCTCTAAGTAACATAAGTTAGATATAAGTAACTTGCAAGTTTTAAGTTATTTTAAGTCATTTTGAACATGAAAAGAAAGGTATTTTAGCAGTTTTTTCTTCATCATTGCGTTTTGCATTTTTATTTTTTGTGTTGAAGAAACCTTTGTTTCGTAAGTTTTCTTCGAATTTCTTTGCTGCACTTGAAAATTTGATGATGTTTTTAAACTTTGGGTTGGGCAATTTTAATTTGGAAAAAAAAAATGAGAGAGTTGCTGCCCAAAGGGCCGCAGGATAGAACATCCACGAATGACCAAAGGCGTGCGACGTGGCATTCAAATTCGGTTTCGTTTCATGGTTCATGCTTCAGAACAGGAGTTGTCGGTACCCGCTACTTCCCTTGATGAAACATAAACCCCAACAATATGTTTTTGATTGACCAGAGAATTATATAGGTATGCGATCCAGTGGGCCGCACTTTTGAATCAATAGACATGCTTATCACGCGTAAGTTCATTGCAAGAAATGCAAGAAGATATGCAGTCCATTGGACCGCAGTCATTTTGAAGGATTGAAAAGCATATCATATGATGTCACTGTACGAAAGCATGAACCAAAAAGACTACAATATACCTGAATGCGTATGGATGTGTATGGATGTGTAAGGATGTGTAAGAATGTGTAAGTCAAAAACAAAAATCCACTTACACATGTGTAAACCAAAAAAATCCACTTACACATGTCTAAACCAACAAAAATCCACTTACACATGTGTAAACCCAAAAAAATCCACTTACACATGTGTAAAAATGTGTAAAAATGTGTAAAAAAATTGTAAAAATGTGTAAACATGTGTTTTGTATTTTGTGTTTTTTTTGAAAAATATGATATGCTGAACCAAAACTGAACATGAAACAAATATAATCATCCATTTTAAACATTTCCACTTCCACTAGAACATCATTCCGTCCCTAAAGGCGGTCCAATGGACCGCCAACATGTTGGAAAAACATGTGCAGCTGCTTTGTGTCTCTTCATGTAGCCCCAACAATGTATAAATACCCTTGATGTACAGGCGGTCCAATGGACCGCCATAACCTCCAATTCTATTGAAAAGGCTTTATACACACCTCACAGGGGCTGTGGCCTCATGATCTTTCCAAGAGCCCAAACGCTTTTTACTTCATATCCATCCTGTTGTCCAAACGAGAGGAAGATAACATATCAACAAAAAGACTCTGCATCACAAAACTTTTCCTGATAGGCTTCTCATAGAGCCGCCTTCCGACAAAAATATCAAAAATAAAAAAATGTTTTAATTCGTTTCCAACCTAAACCTTGTTTTTTTTTGTATGTTTTTATTCCACCACAAAAATTAGTAGCTTCTAAAATCCAAAAAAGTTAAGTTTCCTAAGTTACTTATAAGTTATTTAAGTTGTTTTTTGGTTAACTCAAAAAAAAACTTATTATCTAGTTTATCTTTGGTAACTACTTACAACTACCGTAAAATAAGATAAAAACTTAGCTTACTTAGCTTAGATACAAAAGGGTTGTAACTACCTTACAACTAGGTTACATGTTACTTGCAAGTGCTGTAAATCAAAACCATCCACCAAGTATACGGCGACAAGCATTTTGTGCGAGCCTGCGCAGTCGAAATGCACATGCCGGACGCTTCCGAGACCACCTCGATTGAACACTGGGCCTTAACTGTTGCCGTAAGGACCCCTCAGTGTGACCACACTGTTTGGGGAAGTAAGTTGCCATCCTTATCTTCTTCGAATTTCCCTAAAAAACCCAGGGTTACTTCACCCTCAAAGCGCCGTTGCCGGAGCTCCCCTTGAGCAACACTCGGACACGCAACGCAAGAATGACGCAGCCAGCACCTGGCAAGATATCGAAGATACCCCAGGTGGTGGTCTTCCGCTGCAGCTGGAAATCTTGCAGCGGGGCTAAGGCACGCCTCAGCGTCGCTTAGACGCAGGATAACAGGTGGTGCCCCCGTGACTTTGAAAACCTCCATATAAACTATACTCAGAGAAACATATCATATAATATTATAATAGTTAAATGTATAGAAATATTCCCTGATTGAATATCGTACTTATGTTTGTTGCTTTCAACAACATGGTTTTGGTACGGGAAAGATAATCTATATGTTACTTGGGATGTCTATACCAATGGTTATGTTGGTTAAGTATAAACCCCATGAATAGTAGAGAATAGTAGAGATATATCCCCCATAAACCATAGCTATTGACAGCTATTGGACCTATAAATCCACGCGCTATCGTTGGCACCACCTCTTTGGAATTCCTCATTCTAAACGAATGGAGGTCTATTCATGTGCCAATGGGAATTTCAGGACCCCAAATTTGGGGGTAGTTTTTTCCATATACAGCCATAGAAACTGGGGATATATCCCCTGAAATTCAGCGACATGGCCGTATATTGAATATGTGGAGTATATATGGTACCTCCAATAAAATGGTACCTGAAATGGCCATTGAATGGAAAATCACCCAGAAGTAGTGAATGTCAACATAGCTGCAAAGCTATATGTTTTCGCAAAGGGCGGACACCCCCAAAGAATTTGGAGGTGGGATGTTGGTTGTGGGATGCCCCAACAACCCGTCAAAATGTGACCTTTTATGCTCCATATATGGTACATCTACCGACATTTTTTTCGGGGTCATGTTCGAGAAAATCATGGGAAATAATGGGAAATAACAGATAATGGCACAGTAACTCAAATCATCACCATGAAGTATGGTAATCCCCAAATAGAACAGTTGGACACCTGGAAATTATGGAGGAAACATCATCGAACTCACATCCTGGAAACACCCTTCTATTCTATCTTTTTGGAAACACCTTAAGCTCCCCAGGATTCGCAGAACTGAGATTTGCAGCCAAGGATGCACATCCAGACGCAAGTAAGGGTGAAAAATGCTAGCAGTGTTTACTACTAAGAATGGACCAACATCTGAGGTTTTCCTTGTCGAAAAAAGCAATGACACATTTGAGTAATTCTGCCTTTGTGCATGGTCAAGTGGCCATTCTGCCACCATATCTTGTTGCTCAAATGCACATTTTTTTGGATCAAAAATCATAAGTTTGGATGGTTATATTATATGTTCTTGCTCAATTCACAAGTTTAGTTGGTTAAAAAAACAACAACCTATTATGTGTTGATGCTCAACCCATTTGTTGATTCTTAAAATCCAGAAACATGGGTCTGACTGAAAATGCTGCACGATACCAAATTCCATCCCATGACATACTGGTTGGTGGTTTCAACCAGATTGAAAAATAAGAAGGCTCAATGGGAAGGATGATCCCATATATTGTGGAAAATAAAAGTCATGTTCCAAACCACCAACCAGCATACATATCATCATGTTCCCTTCTGCAACGGCCATCTGACAGACACAGCCGCAGCCATGCTGCCCAGTAGCCCTACCAGGGTTGTGGTTTGTGCGCCCATCATGCCGCTTTTGATGGCCCAAACGTAGGCCACCTAAGCAGCAAACATAGGTGGCACAGGTGGTTTTAGCATTGTAAAGATGTGGATGGAACTCAGGAAATTGGAAACAAAACAGTTATGAATTGGGAATTTAAGCAGCAAAATTGGATTTAACCAACCATTTTTGGGTATATTTGGATATAGTACCAGCAAATGGTGAAATAATGTGAAATATACAGTATATCATTTAACCAACCACATGTATCACCTGCAAAAAAATATGCAAGAATGGGATATGTGACAGTCAAAATCATATGTTTTTTTTGGATGGAAAACGAGTGGCCAAGATGGGATAACCATCAACATGATACCTGTCATTGGTGTCTTAACATGGAGGGAACCCCAGCTTATGGCAATTCTCATTGGTAAAATGATGATGATGATGATGATGATGATGATACATATATATATATACATATTGATATATTACTGTATGTCATGAGCTACCTGACCAGCTGTGTTAAGTACACTCATCTCATGTACATGTTTCTTCTCGATTGCAATGTTTGAGCAGTTGAATTACCCAAAGAAAAAGTAGATACACCTTATGTATTCTAAATTATGTAAATATTATTTCAAGTGGCTATGCTGAGTGGTATGGGTGGGCATAAACAAGTACTCATAAGTTCACGACTTGCATTACCCTCTGGTAAACGTTTACATAATACATAGCTATAGAAAATCACCATCTTTAATAGGTAAATCAACTATTTCTATGGGCCATTTTCAATAGCTATGTTAGTCATTACCAGGGGGTATCTCTTCTGTGTATTTATGGCTCGCCTATCCATCAAATCAGTGATCCGCTCAACGCGATCTTCCTAAGATCCTCTTGATCCGAAAGCGCCAACATTAATAGTGATTCCCCAACTGATAAACTATACCCTCTGGTAAACTAACATAACTATTGGTTAATACTATTGATGATTGTTGGTTAATAATGGTCAATACCCTCCGGTAAACGTTTACAAAAAACTATGGAAAATCACACCATTTTTCATGGGTAAATCCACTATTTCTATGGTCATTTTTAATAGCGAACTGTTAGTTTACCAGAGGGTAATGTCCCATTGGGAAACAGAAAAAACCTCCAGTTCATCCAAAATGAGCTGCCAAAACACCAAATGATGATCCAACTTCTCCATTGGAAGACTCATCGCCTCCTGCAATGGCACCAGGGGGCATGAGGCCAAAGAAATGAGCCAATCTTCAAGTTGGGATGGAAAGTCGACTCCCAGGAAAACTGCCATACAAGCTTATCTGGATATTTTTAGGAATTTATGCCAACTCAATAAGGCCTCCAATCAACACCAACCAAACACCAAGCTCCCAGTGAGGGATGTTGATCCTCTAGGGTCAGCGACAAAAATCTTCCCCTGGAGACTTCTCTGACTTTCCGGTTCCATTTCTCTGAGTTTGGATAACAATCCTAACTTCCATTGGATGCAGTGAGGTTTATCAAAATTATCCACATCGTATATAAATAAATTGCATCGTTCATAACTTCAAATGGCTATATGAAAAAAAACTATACCTTCTAGCAATCAAACATGGGACTGAACAAAAAAAGCAAACTAATTCAAAGAAGTGTACAGATGATGTTCCCATTCAACCACCATTTCTAGGGGGAATCCCGAGCTAGCCATGTTTGATTGCCCTGTGATTTACTAATTCTACTTCATACAACTACTTGAATGCATATGCAAGTAAAGAAGCCAAGGTGATGTTCCATCGCATCTCTAGTTGACATTATTTTTGTCCAGTGTTCTTGGTGAAAAACCTGCGCATTTTCGTGATTAAATTATGTTAGATCTTTTGATGGAAGCCGCCTGCCCCAAACCTGATGAATTTAACTGGTTGACCAGAAGTTATGTTGGCTACATCCGATAATATTCTTGGTAAAAAAAGACAGGGGCAATCTTCCACACCTGCAAAAACATACAAAAACAACATAAAATACATGCCCAACTGTATAAATAGCAAAGAAATAAACTCTATTAAACTCTCATTTCAAGAAAACACATCTTGCAAGCTAACACCTTTTGCCTGGCGCAAGCACCAGGGTGAACAAAAAGCAAAGTGCCGGCGACTGATATCAGTCAATGCAATGACTTCTTGATAAGGAGAGAATGGAAAGCAAATGTGTGAAATATATCTTTTTGATTGTCAAAGGAGTGGGACATATACTGGCAATTTCGAAACAGGGCAACAAGTCATGATTGGGCTGAGCACGGACGGAAAAACTGATGTTTGGCCATAATAATGGCCTTCCAGCTTCGCTCAAGAGCATCCGAAGGACACGCTGCCACGCAGGTTGTGAGGTAATCTGCTGCCCAAAGCGCTGCACCATCTGTCTCTTCCACGCCGCGACGACCTGCATGGGCATGCAGAAGTCGCTGATGAAAGAACTGACACTGACCTGAAGATTGCTCTCGAGTTTCGCGCTCAAGAGTTCCAAGGCATTCTGAGCAAAGTCTGCTGCCAATCGCTGCTTCCCCTCATCCACAAAGCACTTGTTGCCCATGACCTGTCGTTGCCAACACTGGGTGAACATTCGAAATATGTATATATATATACATACACACATAATCGAAACATATCACAACATATTATCACAACTAAGCTATCCATCCAATTCATCCAATTCCCCCTGTTGGCATCGTCGCATATCATCGCATCATCCTCGAAGGTGGCGACCAAATTCTGATTGGGTCCGTCTTCACTGAAGCCCACCTGGCAGCATAAGGCTTTCAATAAACGGGGGTACCCCCAAATGGATGGTTTATAATCCTATCTAACATGGGCGGAAAATATGGGTACCACCATTTTAGGAAACCCCAACATCTGAAGATCCGAAGCGAGATTTGCAGAGTTCCACGATAGACACTGGTCAGATCTGGTCAGTGTAGGATGAATTAGGGAGAATTTGGGGATGTTGGTGAAATTTCAGGGACACATGTTGGTTGACACATGTTCAATGGCCATTTCAGGAGCCTAAATTGGAGGTACCTACCATATATAAGTATAAGTTATTTCAAACTTTAGCCTCTTAACCTGTGGGCCTTGCGGACCATGGAGGGAACTATGGAAGGGACTATGGAAGAAACCAGGGCAATAAGGATATCTTATAGAAGGTGATGTTAGAAACCATGTCAAAGGAATATTAGCAAACTTTCAAAGAGGTAAAGAAACAAAACAATGCACACAGCGAGGACACATCCAGATTCATCAATCTGGGTTTGCACTCAAAGTCGTGAAGTACTTGACCAAAATGGAATTTGTATTGTGGGCCGGTGATGAATTCAGATAACAAAAACTTGCCATGGATACTTTATTTCTATCTGATCCACAGTCTATAGATATAAAATTTTGATTGTGAGATTGGGGTGAACTTATGTTTCGTTCTTTTTTGAAGACTAAATCTACTTAGGCATTCAATTAGATGCAAATAAAATTCTACTTAGGCGTCACAAACTGACGCCTAAGTAGAATTCTATTTGCGCCAGACAGATTATGCATTCCAAATTCTAGTCTGGGGCGGTTTGAAGACATAATTCATAATATACTTGGGCGCAAAAAGAATTCTGCTTAGGCGTCACGAACTGACGCCTAAGTAGAATTCTACTTGCCCCTAAGTAGACCAAGTCTTCCAAATTCTAGTCTGGGGCTGTTGGAAGACATAATTCATAGTCATAATCTACTTAGGCGCAAATAGAATTCTAGTCTGGGACAGTTGGAAGACATAATTTATAGTCATAATCTACTTAGGTGCAAATAGAATTCTAGTCTGGGCTGTTGGAAAACATAATTCATAATCAACCTAGGCGCAAATAGAATTTTGCTTAGGCGTCACAAACTGACGCCTAAGTAGAATTCTATTTGCGCAAAAGTAGATTACGCATTCCAAATTCTAGTCTGGGGCTGGCATTGGTCTGAAAATATGGTTTGCTCTTTCTTCAAGATGGGAGATATACTCAGGCGACAGAAACAAACGCCGAAGTGGAATTCTATTTGCAGCTAATTAATTTTCCAGTGTGAGACTGGGCTAAATTGAGTTTTGATTACTTAACAACATTGCCCCAAATACTTGAAACCTTGAATAAATACACAACCCGCATACAAATAGTGGGTTTAATTTGTGATGCTGCATTTGTTTGAGGGAAGATTCGGGCGATTTAAGCGAAATTGGAGAAATACTTAGGTGGAAGGAACAGGCGCTGAAGTCGAATTCTATCAATATGTAATTTCAATTATTTGGAAGGCAGTCCATGTGTGTTTGGGCGCGCTGAGCTGGCTTCTGCAATGTGTTCAGGCTGTTGGGATTATGTGACTTCCCTTTTCAAAAAAAGAACCAAGGCAATGTTGATTGTTGGCTGCATTCCCAGTGCTGTCTTGTTCCCAACCAGTTCTGGACTGGATCAAAAATATGCAGTAGCGGTAGCAGTGCTACATCCAGGGCTATACTGCTGTTATATATTTTGTCACTCTGGCAAGACTGTTACTACCGTGCTACTACCCATACAAGAAACAAACTATATTGTATATAGCTGCCAATAGATTCTTGGACCATGATTTGATACTTTTCAGAATATATAGCGCTAGCGGTGAGGTTCTTGAGGGTGATGATGGGTTACTTTCAGGTTGGGACTAATGCATCCGGAATGGCTCAACCTTGTCCGTGCCTTCCTACTCCCGGGATTCTTGGCACAGAGAACCAATCTACGTGACAATTTTCTTAGCGCAGAGGTCTCCAGAACGGTTCGGAACGGTTCTGCAGACCTCCAGAACGGTTCGGAACGGTTCGGAACGGTTCTGCAGACCTCAAGTTTGCACGGAGATATTTCTCCACAGCTTCCAGCCCCCCCAAAAAACGGTCAAAACCTTCCAAAGAGCCGCCCTGTGGCTCCATCAAAACCTTCCAAAGAGCCGCCCTGTGGCTCCAAGGGCCAAGGCTACAAGAGAAAGGGGTCAGAAAAACGACAAAGGGAAGGGAACTTCTCCGCCTAAGTCTTTGAACAGGCAGTGCAAAGGCATGCTGAGCACAAGGGAGAAGGTGAAACTGGATGTAGACTACAAAATGCTGGAAGTTTCTCAGCTGTTTGTTCATGGAAGGCTTGGCTTTCAAAATCTTACCTGTCTTGAAAACTGTTCTGTGGAATCTTTTCTAACATAGTCAAAATATGTTATTATGTAGTCAAAATATGCTATGATATGGAAGTCTCCGGAACCGTTCCGAACCGTTCTGGGGTCTATAGGCTTGGAATCCGGAACCGTTCCGGAACCGTTCCAAATAGTTCTAAATAGTTCCGAGGTTTTGGAAGTATCCGGAACCGTTCCGAACCGTTCTGGGGAAATCTCCGGAACCGTTCCGAACCGTTCTGCAAACCCCAAATAATGGCTTATGTGTTAACTTGCTTTTATACTTGTATACCGTATAACTTGATAAAACCGAATATACACACTTGTAGCTTATAGCTACTTTGTAAAATACAACTCATAATTTATAACTCTTGACTATCAAACTTCAATAAATCAATTTATGAGGTTTAGGATCTGTTTTTAAATTGAAACACATTGTTATAACTGTTAACTTACAACTTAGAGCTTCTAGTTATGACTTGACGCTACAAACTGTGTAACTTATGACTTCGTAACCTTTTAACTTTGAATTTACAACTTATAACTAAAACTGAGAACCTTTAACTTGTAACATAACTTTGACCTTACTTCTCGATTTGACTCCAACTGTTTAACTTTATAAGTATATTTTTGATTATGATTTTATATAAGACTGTTTGAGTTTTTAGGTGAATTATATGTTCTTGTTTGTTCGTGTATGTTTGAAAGTTTGGAAGTATATCTACCACACTTGTTGACAGGGTTTGTTTGCATAAAACGCAACAATAAAGTTTAAACGTTGTATTTGGATAACATAACATATTTATAATGATTGTAATCTATTACTGCAACACTGCTACGGACCAATGCACAACAACGTAGCGACAGAAATACAGTAACACATCTTTGATCTTCTACAAATACGCAAGGGAACACAAATTAAATCCAGTAACATTCCGTTTGCAGTTGATAAATTTGTTTCACCATGTTTTACCTAAGTTTTACCGTGGTCTTCGCAGCACCGAAAACAATGCTTAAAAGCTGTGGATTTGCATTTGCAGTTCATCCACGCACATGAGCACACAGCCATACATACACTCATGAATGCACTAGTTAACCAATTTTACGGTATACAGGGTCACACCGTAATATTGTTTTCATGAGTTCTATTTTTCTAGTTGGAGCTTGCGCACATGCATTCTTTGGTGTTCTCCTTTTTGAAGAAATATGGGGCCCCGAATTACATAGATGTTGTATATTGTTGTATACTGTTTTCCTTTCCAACTACGAAGTTTGTATGTAACATCTAATTTGATGTTGAAAGGCTTTTTGTCCAAGAACGTGGAGCAATGTGTTTTTCTTTCAAAGTGGTGGGTTTCTTCATTGGGTGACATTTTTATTGGAAACACCCCTTATTTCCATGGATTGCTACATAGTTCTTTCCATAGTTCTTTCCCTGGACATTTGAAATCAACAGGAATCCAAATTTAAGAGACTAAGGCTTGAAATAAAGTATAAGGCCTATGTAAGGGAATATCCCGGCAAAATATGGCCTTATATGGTACAGTACCTCCATATTAGGATCCTGGAATTCCCACTGACATGTTGAATCAT